TATGGCGACGGCAGCGCTGGGAAAAGAGGGGTCCTTACACGTCTTCTGTCTCCGTGACAGCAACAACACGTGTGCGATCACGTGAACAAATGGACATATACACATGGACAAACATGCACGCACGTGTACACGCACATTGTTCTCTGGTACGAATAATGCCTCAAATAATATCTTTTATGGGGATGGTGCCGCCGTTAGGCCTACATCGGGTCAATGAGATTTCCCCGATATGTCTGTGTTGTGATTGTCACGAAACATGTGGCATGTCTGGGCTCCTGGCGTGACATGTAATCGGAATCCAGGCCCACTAATCTTGGGGGAGAAAAAGAAGATAATGCGTTAGATCTATAGGAAGACCGTGATTATCTTTCTTCCGCATCACGAGATCTACGAACTAAATTTGTATTCTCGCATGACGAAGAGACAGGTGGTGATTTTCTCCTTAAAACCATACTCAATAAATGGAACACTGCATTAGAATTTTTTGAACACCTATAAAACACTGACGACAATTATCCACAAAAAGTTTTACGAAATACGTAGCTATCAACAAAATAAAGGCGATAAACACTCTAAAAAAATTCAGTAATCATACCATTAAATACATACATAAATACATACATACATACATACATTAATACATACATACACACACACACACACACACACACACACACACACACACACACACACACACACACACACACATATATATATATATATATATATAATATATATATATATATATATATATATATATATATATATATATATATATATATATGAGAATGATGTATACATATGTATGTGTATAGATTTATATATATGCGCACAGGTATGTATGTGTATACAAGTGTGTGCATTATATATACACATATAAATACATATACACATATACATTTATATATATACACATACATATATAGGTAAACACACACATATATATAATCATATATATACACTCAGACATATACATATATATCTATATACATATATATATATATGTAATATATGTAATATAAATAGATGTGCAATAAGCAAATGAGCCTGGCTATTGCTTCTACACGTCGCCTATGGATGTCGCAGAAATCGCGCATCCAAAGAAAACCTGAGACGGACGGATTAGACGAATCGGGACAGGGAAGTTGCGGCCACCGGATACGGTGGGGGAGGTAGATGGCAAGTGCTAGGTATGTTATCGCTATAAACGTAATATCAATTATCATAATTATCATCATTATTCTAGGGTAGATATAAGTGACTGATTATTGCATGTTTGTGCCCATCGCTTGTAAATAGATAAACGGCAGCAACTGGAGACCGAAAGAGCTGATGTAAGGTACCAGAGTACGACAAAGTCCCCCGCCAGGTGTCCTGAGCAGAGAGCTTTTTCCCCTCACAGTCCCAAAAATAAAGGTCTACAAATGAGAAAGGGCAGAAAATCATTAATGCGTCCATCCCTTGCTTCACAGTATGGACACTTCGTCGTGGAGGCGGAGAAAAGGCGATTCATCTCGAAGAGCGAGGAGGATGCTCTCACACTCCAAGGCAGTACGCAATTTAATCATAGATAGATCGGACGGTGAAATAAATAGTTTAAGAACTTTCGAAGTGTCAAAGAGAGAGGCGGGTTCTCGACACGCGCGCGCGTGCGTGTGTGTGTATGTGTAAGAATGTGTGCGCGTGTATGTGTATGTGTAAGAATGAGTGAGTGAGTGTGTGTGTTTGTGCAAGCTTTCGGTTATGTTCGTTCCACTGTGTTAGTGTGCGTTTCCCTGATGGCCAAACTACAGCTTTAAGCGTACTCTCGTTTTGCAGTTGGCGTATTGTTATTTTACGTTTCGCAAATGTTCATATATAGTATGCTTATAACATCTAACAGATATTTACACCTTCCTCGATTATTTAGAAATAGTATGGCTACAGAAATAAAATCATGATAAACGATGAACAAGGTATCAGTGTCATGAATGAATAGAAAAACACACTACCGTGTTGATACTATGGTAGAAAAACCCACAATGTTCAAACTAGATTTATTAAAGAAAGTGAGACAACAGTTTCGGAATCGTCCTCGATTCCATCTGCGGGTCTGTATCATGCTCTCCTCGTGTATGCGAAGCCCATATGATATAGAACACACACTTCATTCATAGTTACTTTTATCTTTAGCTGAGTGTCACTGTATCCATATTCATATCTGTGCGTGTGCGCGTGTTTGCACTTTCGCGTTCACACACACACACACACACACACATATATATATATATATATATATATATATATATATATATTATATATAATATATATATATATATATATATTAACATATGTATGCATGTGTGTGTGTGTTTGTGTACACATACATACACACACAATGTATGTGTATACATCTACACATTCGCACAAACAAATACAGATGCCTGTCTGCGTGTGTCCACATCCAGACGCATGCAGGGCAAACGATGTCCCCCCAGAAGACGTCCGCCTCGGCCGGCCCCGACGCCCTCGGGCAGCGCCGCCGTCGGAGCGTGGCCACACCGCCCGCCGCCCCGACCGCATCAAACCAGCCGGCAAACTCGATTCGGCTCAGCCGTCTAATAGGACAGCAGGCCGAATGAAGCCATCTAGCTCGGCCGCCGCAGGAGGAAGGCCGGCGGGAGGCAGGGCCAGGGGCAGGGGGCGGGGCCAGGGGGAGCGGCCGGGTCAGAGAGGGGGCGGGGGACCCCATCAGACGTCGGGGTGCTTCCTCGATTTTTCTTAATCCGTTGAGATAATTATCCCTGGGACGGGACATTCCCCCAGCATCCGCCGCCACACAACATCAACGAGCTCTGTCTTGTTTCCTCTTCTTCCCCTCGGTGGTCCTCCTCCTCATCTTCTTCTTCGTCTTTCCTTTGTATCGCTCTCCTCGAAATTATTCTTGAATTTCCCATATCTACTTCCTCTTCCCTTTTGTTGTTTTTCTCATCTTTTCTTTTTCTTCTTCCATCGCCACACTTCTTCTCAGTTTCGAATTACTTTTTCCCTTGTTTTCCCCTTTACCTAACCTTCCTTTCTTCCTTCTCGACTTTCCTTCTATTCCAATCTTCCTTACTTCTCCCTTACCTCACCTTCTCATCCTTCTCCTTCCTCGTTTCCCTTCCCTCATCTTCCTCACTTCCTTTCCTCGTTTCCCTTCCTTCATCTTCCTCACTTCCCCCTTACCTCACCTTCCCTTCCTTCTCCCTTCTTCGCCTTTCCTTCCCTCGTCATTTGCCTCACACCTTCCATCCATATTCAGAGGTAATGAGAAGAAAAAGAGCAGGCGGGGGGGGGGAGAGGGAGAGGGAGAGGGAGAGAGAGGGAGAGAGAGAGAGAGAGAGAGAGAGAGAGAGAGAGAGAGAGAGAGAGGAGGAGAGAGAGAGAGAGAGAGAGGAGACGAGAGAGAGAGAGAGAGAGAGAGAGAGAGGAGAGAGAGAGAGAGAGAGAGAGAGAGGGAGAGAGAGAGAGAGAGGGGGGGGAGGGAGGCGAATGTGCTCAGAGCCGAATAAAAGCCACGGGACGCCCACCGATTCCCATCCCTTCCCGCCCTGCCCAAGAGCGGTCCTATGGATTCTCCGGCCGAGACGGGAGGTGGATGGAAAGATCGCTCCATCCGGCAGAGGCCGTCCGGTGTCCTTTCTTTTCCTACGGCAGCTCGCCATTTTTTTTTCTTTTTAGTCGCCGGGAATCATTCCATTCGAAATGAGTCACCAAGAATCCCTCAATTTCGAACAGGGCGGCTGGACCCCTTTCATCTTGCTCAGGCTACCGGGAGTCCCTGTTTTTGAATGGGTCGCCTGAATCCTTCCTTTTAGAATCGGGCGCCTGTAATCCTTCCACTGCGAATGGACCATAGGAATCCTTCTACCCTGAATGGGCTGCCTGGAATCCTTCCTATCTGAATAAACCACTCGGAATCCTTTTATTTGCCTTCCTTTTTGAACAGGACACCCAGAATCCTTCTATTTTCAATCGACCGCCTTAATATTTCCAATTTGGACGCAGAGAACTCTTCCAATTTGGAAAGGGCGCACTGAATCCTCGTATTTTGAACAGGGCGCCAGAATCCTCCCGTTTTGAATATGAATCTTGCCGTTCTGAAAAGGCCGCTTGAACCTTTCCATTTCGAGTGGCCTGCTCAGACCCATTTATAAGCTGTCTGGGATCCTTCTGAGTGGGCTGCCTGATTAGGCCATTTAAAAGCCTCTCATTTTGAGTTGGCCCTCCGGAATCCCTCCATTTTGAATCGGCTACCTGGAATCCTTCCATTTTGAAGAGGTTGCCCAGAATCCTTCCATTCTGAATGAGCACCGGAATCTTTCCATCTTGAAACTGCTGGTGCGGAATCATTCCATGGCGACTAAGCCGCCGGGAACTATTCATTTTGAATGAGGTGCGCGGAATAATTCCATTATGAAAAGGCTGCCCGGAATCCATTTTGAAAGGCTACCCGGAGTCATTCCACTCTGAATGGGCCGCCCGATGCATTCCCTTTTGAACGGGGCGCCCGGTGTCCTTCCACTCTGAATTGGCCGCCCCGAAGTGCCACACGGGAGGGCGAGCGACACGGACTCGGGGACAGGCCACTCGACCTGGCACTCGACCTCAGGCGCGGGAGGGAAGAGGTGTGCGGATTTAAGATTATCCAAATTTCAGTACCCGATCCGACGACCTTCACGTGCGCGGGAGGGGGAGGCGGATGGGAGGGAGGGAGGGCGACAGGGATGGGGGAAGTGAGAAGGGAGGGGAGGAGGAGGGAGGAGGAAGGAAGAGGGTAGGTAGGGGAGGAGAGGAGGAAGGGAAAGAGGAGGAGGAGGGAGGAGGAGGAGGAGGAGGAGGAGGAGGAGGAGGAGGGGAGGAGGAGGAGCATGGAGGAGGAAGGCGAAGGGGTAGGAAGAAAAGAGGGAAAAGAGTGAGGAAAACGAAGAAAATAAGGATGGGGACGGGCAGGAAAGACGGAAAGAGGATGTGGGCGAGACAGGACAAACTCTTCAAATTTTCAACTTTTGACCTCCAAGAAGATTTGATTTTCCCTTGAAGAATTTAATGCGATTTTATTGGTGCGACGACGGCATGCATGCTCTCCTTTCATCTTCCTCGCCACTCTATTCCCCCTTTCTCTCCTCTCTTCAATAATCGTTAAGAACAACGCTGCCTGAAACAACGGCGCGCGGGCAACAAGCGCTCGAACTGCGATAATGTTTTAAACCTCTCACGGCGCCGGCCACGCGGAACAAAAGTACCCCAACTCTACTTATAAAAAATGAAGCCAGCATTGGAGCGGCGGAAAAATACATAATACACTTTCAACTATGCCCCTGCAAGTTCTTTACCCTTTTTCTTCTTACGTACGCTGAACTCTGATTCCGACACACGCATTCGCTCACCCACTCACTCATTCACTCTCTCTCTATACACGAGAACAAAAAGAACATTTTTTCTTTGTGTATTGATTAACACCGGATTTAAAACCAAAGAGAACGTATACACACATGCGCACACACTAACACACACTATACGTACACACATGCATACAGACACACGCACTTGCTATACTAATCAGCCTACATAAATAAAAGAAATTTGGCCACAAATCATCAACTCCCTTGCTCTATCCCAGAACAAGTCTACAATTCTACTTACTCTCGATACTGCCAGTCAGCGTCGACGGGGATTTACCTGCAATGAAGGAAAAGAAACATTGATTGCGACAAATCAGTTAACAATATCTTAACTTAAAATGAATAGGTTTGAGAGGGTGGGTTGAGAGGGTGGGCGGGGCCGGGCGGGAAGGGGAAGGGGCAGGGGGCAGGGGAGGGGGTAAGAGGGACAAATAGACAAATAACCGAGTAAAGGAGAGAGAAAAAAAATGTTTGTAAAGGCAAAGAGAGAGATAAAAGACAGGAGAAGAGAAGAGAGAGAGAGAGAGAGAGAGAGAGAGAGAGAGAGAGAGAGAGAGAGAGAGAGAGAGAGAGAGAGAGAGAGGAGAGAGAGAGAGAGAGAGAGAGTGAGAGTGAGAAGAAAAGAAGAGAGAGAGAGAGAGAGAAGAAAACAGAAGAGAAGAGAGAGAAATCTTACATCCGCAACGTTCTACAAATTTCGCCAGAAAAAGAAGTCAACTAGACTTTTTCCTCCCCAAGTTTTAAGTATCTATTCACCTTTGACCGCCTAACTAGACTAGGGCTCGAGAGTCGGGGCAGAGACTCGAGTGCCGACCTGACCCTTGACCCGAGCTGAGTGGCGACCTCCGAGCACTTCCGCTCTCACGCTTCACCTGGCTTCCCGAACTTCCGTCTTATCCTCTCGCCCTCCCTCTAATCTCGCTCATTCCTTCTCTAATCTCCCTTTCCTCTCTTCATCACGCTTTCCTACTATCCACTTTCACTTCTTCTCTGCACCTTCTTCCCTTCTACTCCATCTCTTTCTTTCCTTCCATCCTCTCACACAACCTGAATTTCTGCGCTCTCATTCCTCTCGCAATAGCTCCTAACCTCCCAATATCCCTTCTCCCTGCTGTCCCAATCCTCACCAATCCCCCCCCCCTCCCTTCTCCCTCTATTATCATCATCACCATCATCAACCTCCTCCTCCTCCTCCCCCCTTTCTCCTCCCACACGCCCACTAATTACGCCCACGTCTCACTCGCGTTCCCCCTAGACAGCCGGATCGAAAAATGAACTCGTAATACGGACGGAGGCAAAAATCAACAAGCTATTCCCCCCGAGACTCGGTGTCCAAGCTTTGTTTCCGCTCGCCTTTTACCTCGGCTCGTCCGCTCGTTTCTCCCGGGGTTTTGCCTGACTTTGCAACGCGCCCCCCCCTCCCCCTCCGTCGTATCTTTCTTGGCGAGAGTGACGTCCTTCAGATTCATAATCAAGTACGGGGGCAAAACCACGGCACTAAACAGCCAAGGGGCACCTCACGCATACCTGTAGGAATAGAACTAAGATCGAGTTTCAAAAGGGTAAAAGGCGTCTCTCCCCCTCCCCCCCCCCCAGCCACTAGTCTCCCCTTCCCCTTCCCTCTCCTCCCCCCCAGCGCGATAGTCTTCCCTCCCCTTCCCTCTCCCTCCCCCCAGCCCACGTCATCTCCCCTCGCCCCCCCCCTACCCCAGCCACCAAGCCAGTCCCAGGGGCGACATCAACAGAACCCGCCCCTCCCCCGTGGCCCTGGCGTCCCTCCGACGATACGGCCATAGCTTGGAGGCAAAGGCGCCCTGAAAGGTACTACTCCAGCCCTTCCCTCAAGCACGACGCTTTTCTCTTTTTTATTCCTTTTTCTTTTAGCTCAGGACTCCTGCGCCTGAAAGACAATGGAGTTCGTATGCCATTCTCTTTCCCCTTTCTCTCCTTGATCTTCCATTTCTCTTTTCTTTAGCATATCTTTAACAGCCAGTCGCCTCACTCTCTCTCTCTCATTTCTCTCTCTCTCTCTCTCTCTCTTCTCTCTCTCTCTTCTCTCTCTCTCTCTCTCTCTCTCTCTCTCTCTCTCTCTCTCTCATTGTCAGACCCTTTTTACGCTGGTCCTTAAGGGGGAAGTATAAAGGCATATCTTTGCTTTTAAGTCAATGTTGAGACACAATGTAAGCTCTTAGATCACCATCATCAGAACGCTATTTTAAACGCAATATTTTTCGCATTACCTCACACACACATTCATCCTCTCACACACACACACACATTCATCCTCACACACACACAACACACACACACACACACACACACACACACACACACACACACAACACACACACACACACACACACACACACACACACATTTCACACGCACACACACATTCACACGCACACACACATTCACACGCACACACACACACATCAGCAATTACACATTTTCATGCTGGTACACGCATTCACGAAGAAATAAAATGCCCCGCGTGAATACCCTAAAACGACAGCAAAAGTGCCAAATATTCACAGAGAAAGTGACAGAATCAAATGGCATGGAATGTTATGCACGACGCCGTTTATAGGAATTCCTTGGCGTTCTGGGGTGTCACTATGACAGGAATCTCAGGTAGGCGTAAAGTGAACAAATAAAAAAAAAATATATGACCGTGACACAGAGAAGGGAAGCAAAGAAGGTGAACATGAGGGAGAAGAGCATGGTAATGAGGGCAGTAGGCGTCGAGGGGAAAGACAAAGGGTTATATAATTCCCCAAAACCTTCATTTTCCCTTAATAATAGAAACCTGTCACCTCTGAGGAGTCACCAACCAACATCCTTTTAATCCTCCTTCCCCCCTCCTACCTCCACCACCCCCACCCAACGTCAAAATAACCCAAGGTAAAAAAAAAAATAATAATAACAAAAGGAAGAAAAGGAATAAAAAAGAGAAAAAAATATGGAGTCATTATCTCTCACCGGCAGCCGCACGTTCCCCAAGTCATTTTCCAACTAATCAGAAGATTTGAGGAGAGATCGAGGAGGAGGAGGAGAGGAATGGAAGGGGAATGCGACAACGGGCAAGACGAACAGAGGGAGAGGGAAGCGAGAAGAATTGATAGAAAAAATGAGCAATGCTGGCGTCCACGTATGGGCGGAAGAAAGACAGAGGGTTAAAAATCTGCAAACCTCGGGAATCATGAATAAAACTGCCGTCGAGGAACCGCCATTCGGAAGCCCTTGTGTATATTCGCCGCCGATGTTACCTCCGAGTTTTAGGAAATATAACAACAGGCATATAAAAGACGAGGGACGAGGAAGGAGGGAAAAAAATAATAAGGAACTGTTTGTATTCAGGAGTCACCTGGCTACGGCATCCCTGTGGGATCCTCGAGCCAGCAAACAATACCAGCCTTTGGGACCGAGATTCTCCCCTTCCCTCACCTGTTCCCCCTTCCTCGGCCATTCCTATCCCTCGCCTTTCTTCCCCCTCCCCTCGCCCGTTACCACCCCCTCCTTCCTCCAATGGCGTCCATCCCTACCCCACCCCTCCCTTCCCTCACCCGTCCTCTTTTCCATTCCCCTCACCCGTCCTCCCTCCATTCCCCCTCTCCCGTCCCCCTCAACCCTCCCCTTCCCCTCACCCGCCCCCCTCCCTCCCTTCCCCCCTCACCCGCCCCCCCTCCCTCCCTGCCCTCATCCGTCCTCCTCCTTGCACGCCTCTCAACCCCAGTTTTTAGCCCCCCCTCTCCTCATCCACCCCACTTCCATTCCTACATCCATTACACTGTTTCCCCCTCTCTCACCCATTCCCCTTTCTATTTCCCCTCGCCGATTTTCACTTCCTCTCCTCCCCTAACCTTACCCCATTCCTCTTCTTGCCTCCCTTCCCCTCATCCGTCCTCCCTTCGTATGGACGGCCAAACCGACTCGGAAAAAAATCCGTCGCTTTGAACAAATAGTCACAAGATTTTAAAAACGAGGTACTTTAACTCTCTTTGTTTTATTTCTTTCTTTTTCTATTGTCCATCATATTCCTCTTCACTTCACTTTCTTCCTCTTCCTCCCATTCACTTACTTTACAACCACTTTTCTCCCCTCTTTTACTCGCCTATTTATCTTGCTACCTTCCTTCCCTTCCTCTCATTGTACTTCTCCCTATTTCCCCTTTCTGCCATTTCCCCAAAGACACCACGAACTCGAAGACGGAGAGATAAGTTATGGGAGCAGTCTTAAAGTCTTTATATAAAAAAAATCATGAAAATCAATTTCTAAATGTCACAATTTCGGTTGCCGTGAAATAAGGAAGGAAGCAAGATGAAGAGGCAAAGGTGGAATAAGGAAAGGACTTACCTTTCAATATCTATCGTCATCTTGCTTTGCTCTTATTCAAATCAAGGCAATGGAAAACGAAGAGAATGCAGAGGTAAAAGAAATTGGGAAAACTGCGTGGGAGAGGAAAAAGAAAAAGAAATGAAAGGAGCGAAACAAACTCCTCTTCTTTTGCAACAATATTCAACATCATCAGCGACCGAGCTTGCATAATGAGCAAAGCGGGAAAGATACGCTTCACCAGATCCCTCGCCTGCGTGTGCCTCTTAGTCTGCGGAAACCGGTGCTTCTTTGCGGGGAGCGATGGCAATGGCGGTGACGGAGGGAGGATCAATATAATGCAAGGCGTCGTAGCGATAACCGTATGCCAAATCGAGCTACGCCTGAGTCATGGCGGCGGCGACATACGACGTTCACTATACGCCGCAACACTAATGAGAAGAACGTCCAAGAATATAAAAGTCTTAAGGACAAAAAGTCAAGGAAACCCGCATACCCAGCCCTAATTGGGGCGCGGTAAGGGCCCTCCACGCGACCTCTCCATCCCCCTCTCTTGCTCTCTTCTTTTCCTCACTCCCCCCCCCCCCTCTCTCTCTCTCTCCACACAACTCTTCCTCTCCCTATTTCATCGTCCTACCACCTGCTTTCTGCCCCGTACACTCTCCTACTCATTCTTCTTCTTCTCTCTCTCCTCCTCTCTCCGGCTCCTCTTGCTCCCTCCTTCCTTCTCGACCCCAGGGACCACGCGACCTTTCCTCCAACCACATGTGTGACCTTACTCAGGCCTCGAGGCTCCTCCAACTACAATATGACCTTAAATAATTACGGACTGAATAAGAAGGAAAAGCAGTTGGCCGGGGAAGGCATCGACCAGGCACATTAAAGAACAAAAACGCCTCTAAATACTGCATTCGAACAACTACAGCTTTTACTGTACCGTTG